TGGACGATGTGGTTGGAATGACCAATGAGGAGCTGCGTTCGTTTGCCGTCAAGTCGCAGAAGGACCTCGAATCGTCTCGCAAGGAGCTAGACACTATCGACAAGAAGCTCAACGCCCTAGTGAAGCGGAACCGCAAACTTGCACAGCAGGCTCTTGCGACTACCGTTGACGCGTGAACCCCCGTTTTGTCCCTTTGACAACTGTATTTTAGTAGATCTCATTTTCAGCATGTTTCCTGCTTTCTTCTTATGCTGGCTTACTACTACCCCTGTATTCTGAACCTGGCTTCTGTTCCTGCTGTATGATGCTTTTCTCCGTTATTAGACTTTACAGGGGAATACTCACGAATCAGTGATAATACATTAGACTATACATATCTATAAAATTATGTACTAGTAGTCCTCTCTACGCACCTTCGTTAGGCCGGAAGACCACCTTCTCTCCGGAAACACCCTCCTTATTCGTCTTCAATGCCTCCTCAACAGCCCCCAACCCACCAGGCACCACCCGCACACGATTCGGCACAAACAAGCCCTTCGCAATCCACCCATCCTCACCCCCGAGCGCCTTCACCATAGGCTCACTAATATGCCTCAACTTAGGCGAAGCCCCAATACCCAAAATCGGCCGAATCTCCACCTGATGCTCCCCCTCCTTGCCCAGCTCCTCCGCCTCCTTCTCCGCACCCAACACCGTAACCACCGCCTTCGCAGTCCCCTTACTCTTCTTCGCAACCTCCACGCCCAGCACCTGCGTCTCCTTCATCGAAATCGCATCATACACATAACAAATGGGCACCTCCCCAGCAGCATCCACAAAGTCCTGCGCCTTAGCCACCTTCCGATCCAGCACCACATGCGCCCCCAACCCCTCCAAATGCTCCTTATGCACAACACTCGCATTCGTAATAATCTTCGTGAACCCGCTCAACCTCGCAAACTGAATAGCATACTGTCCCACACTCGACGCTCCGCCCAGAATAGCAATCGCCTTGCCCTTGCCTGCCTCGGATCCGCCCTCAGCCCAAGGCGCAGGCGTGATCCCGTGCCCTGTGCTATCGTACATACCCGTCACAACGGCCACACTGGCTAGACTGATTCCCGCGGCTTGCTCGTCGGAGATGTTCGAGGGGGTCTTGGAGACGAGTTCTGCTGGCATCACGCAGTATTGTTGGAAGGTCGATGCGGCATAATTGCCGATTATGCCTTGGAAGAAGACCCGGTCGCCTGGCGTGAAGGTCGAGACGTTGGGGCCTACGGCGGCGATGGTGCCCGAGGCGTCGGACCCGAGGATCGCCGGGTATTCGGTTAGGAAGAAGTTGTAGTCGCGCATTTTCCAGTCGACGGGGTTCACGGCCGTGGCGATGATTTTGATTAGGACTTGGTTGGTCGAGGGGGTCGGCAGGGGTTTGGTGGTCAGGGTCGTGGGTGATTGGGGGGAGGGCACGGTGGCCGCGAGGTAGGTGGAGGGGAGGGACATTGTTGTTGTAGTTCGTCGGTTGTTGTTGTTGGTGGTGGTGGAAGTGGTGTGGTTGGTGGGATTTGAAATAGAGTGCTGACGGGCGTCAGTGATATGGAGATCAGATTATAGCTCGTGAGGGGTAGGGTTAGGGGTACTTTAGTTTAGATGATGATGTTATATAGGAAGCCAGTGTCTGATTTGTAATGAGGTCATGGACATTAGTCATCGACTCCACTGGGGCTGTTTTTGATCTGGGTGGGCTTTGTTATGCGATGGATGTTATGGATAGAAGTATAATGTCATTGAGCTGACGGCCAACAGGAGGCTGTAAAGAGTATGAGTATACATTTGCATGCCACCAAATACAAATATGTCGTGTACATTTTGTAAAACTCAGTGTCATGACTGCTGAATTGCAAAACTGTGAGCCGAAGAGTAACCAGCATGTTTGAATGAGCGTTCAATGCATGCAATCATTCTAACGATAGTTCTAGCAACGTTAGTATTTCTAGTACTTTCCATCATGTGCGGATCTCTCGATAAGTGGTGAATGACACGGTACTGGGGTTCTATCCATCTGTAGTCAGATAGCGTCTTTCCTCTTTTGTTTTGAACTTCGCATATAAACCATGCAGCCCAACATGGTCAATGCAATAGTGGGATAATATTAATATCAAACTAAAACAAATTGTCTCAAGGGGAATCTAGATGTCGTTCCACTACTAAATAGTAGTTGTAGTTATCTCCGAGTGTGGCCCTAGGTTATGAGGTCAGGGTTACTTTAGTACTAGCTGGAAATATATACATTACTATTCAAGCGTTAGTACTACCACTTCATTCAGATATTATGATCTCTATTACTTAGCTAGTACTATTGCAAAGCCAGCCTGTAGCCCAAGTCCGGAATACTGTATCAGCGAAATCAGTAGAAGAAGGGGTCAATATAATCAACAGGATCGATGATACTGGGATAATGATATGGAATATGAATCGATCTTTGACAAGCTTTCTCGGCCGATTCCTCTCTTGGCAGGTGTGACTTGACGTGGAAGCTTAGCCGGTAACTTAAGTCATATGAAGGAAGTTGGAATATTTTACCGCTAACCTAATCCGGAATGCCTGGCCCTAGGCCCATTTACATCCTTTACCTAAATGAGCTATCCTGTGAACATCGCCCCTTTGAGATGCAGATCGACGTACTCGCAACGTTCCAATAAAATGCATTCCTTTGATACTATGTTGACTTTTGGGAAATGGAATGTGAGGGAGTCGGCTGGGCCAAAGAAACAGAAAGTTCGTCTGTCATTGTCTGCTAGTTGCTGATACTTACAAGATGCTTGCTCTTTGATTGTATGTTAAGTTATTTATAAGCTGGAAGCAGTGCTTTATAAAATCGAGAATATCTACTATTATACAAATTACTGTTTCATAGCCTAAATCGGTCAACCGTACTGTAGGTTAATGGTGGTTAAGTAGAACTGCATTGATCGACACGGTCGAAATGCCAGTGGATGGAGCACCAGGCAGCCATGACATTCAAGCCTGCAGATGAGAGGTTACATCCACTTAGGCATTACCCATCAGTATATGACAAGTGTACCAGACAGAATCACGCGGCGCATACTTATTATCATAACACTGGATCTCTTTGATACTTGACACATACAAATACCTACTAGCGAACAGCACTTGGACATCAAATATTCTTAGTTTCCTTGAACATTTATCTTTCGCTCCGAGGAGATCGATATTCCAGCACATACATACGGCAAGCCACTGAAGATGATGACTGCAACAATCTGCCAATTGCTACAAGTCATACTATATGCTACTGTAGCAGCTAGTTCTTTGAGCGACACGCAAATCCCTCTTGCGAATGGCCTGTCAACTGATATCATCACCGGAGTATACGGAGAAGATCCAGAGATCAAAATTCTGAGCGATGATGGCCGGATCAATTGGAAGCTCAGCGTCAACGACATCCTCGAGGGACATCCCAATCTAGTACCCTGGCTTAGAGACTGTTGGTCCAATGGAAGTGCGGTCACGGAAATGAAACAAATATCAGATGGGACTAAGATAGCTGCCCTAATTGGCGAGGCAGCAGTGGTCATTAACTACATGCCTGAAAATTCGGAAGAGGATAAAAAGGTCGTTTACGGAGTCTGCGTCAACATTCCGAACCTCAGCAACTGCCATACTTTGGAAGCTCTTCCAAGTGATACACTTGCTATTGCCACTAGCGGCCAACGCCAAAGCGATGGCATTTGGTTGTATGATGCCGGAAGGGGCCTAGTTCCTGATGGAAGCCCAGAGCCATTCCAGAAAGGAGGCTGCCATCCAACAATCCACGGGATGGTATGGGATGACGAAAAGGGAATTCTGTGGGCAGCTGGAACCGACAAGGCTGCGGACGGAAGCGAGTGCCGTGCTTACGGACTTCTGAATGGGTATCAGTGGAGTAAGGAACACCACTACCTCGATAAAGACTCGGTTAATAGCTACCGCATGCCAACCACTGCTCAGTGTTTCACCGAGTGGCCAAGCGATGATCCGAATAGCAAGTACTGGGATGGACCGCACGATGTCGCCCCTGTACCTAATGAGCGCAAACTTCTTGTATCAACTGAGTTGGATATTCACGAGTTCGACTTCGATTCCGAGAGGTTCACCGCAGGCGAAGCTGTTGAGGCGACGTACCTGAAAGGATTCGTCCCTTTAGGGAACAGAACAGGTACTAATAAGTTTGGCCAGCCAGAGTATCTGCCGCGGTCGGACCTGAAGAGCGTAAGCTTGGCCGAGGATGACCGCGTAGTATACAATCAGGCAATCTGGGCAACTACATTCAGCAGCAGACTGATCAACGTGCTTGAGAATGGGAACAATAGGGGCATTGATGTGGATGGGAGCATTTACAAGGCTCGTTGGCTCGACAGTACTCCTGGATGGAGGAGAGCAGAATGGTCACTGTAAGCATTTGTGGGCTGGCTGGACAATCACTCAGCCGTGAGAATCTGATGTTACCCCGGATTGCTTGGTTTGAAGGCCGAGGAAGGTAATGGCATGGGACCAAGTACCTTGATTAGCACTGAAGCTTCTCAATAGCAACTAAGTATGCTGCAATTTCAGTCTGTATTCACACCCCCTGCATAATTGGACACTGAAGTCACTTGACAACATACGAATCCGGCCTGGTGAGATGCAAATAATGTAGTGAACCGTTATAGCCTGCCAAATAGAAAATTAGTCTGTGCATAAGCAATGTTACCCCATGATTCGAGGAATTTACTGGTGGCTGGCTGTGGTAAGGGGTATTTTCCGCGGGATGATGGTTGTGTAACGCTATTGTCCAAGCATCACAATGCAACATTCTACTAAGCAAATCTTGTAATACCTACACCAAAGAGTTTCCGATGCAACTCTCCTTGCAATCCAAAATAGACCACCCTGTTGGATTATGTAGTAGTCCATATAAACACTTATATAAAGCTCCTTCCGAGCACCTGGGACTCTCATTTTTGAATCAGTTCTATAACATCCCTATACCAGACCGTCGATCTGATTATTAGCCAAACCAAACTCTCGGAATACAAAATGAAGCCCAGTATCCTCTTCATGCTACCAGTCGCCCCTGCCGTGCTCGGGATGGCATGCTCAACTCGCACGAGATATTACTGTGGACACACTCTTCTGACGATGGGTATGTTGCTACACGCATAGCGTCTTTGAGAGATCATTGGGACATCAAGTCTGATATGATGTAGGAGATTGGTTGCCCGATATTGAGACTGCTCTGGCAAATGCCGGCGTTGAACAGACAGAGCATGCTATTGAAGACTCTATATTTACGTGTGTCGACGATTATGCCATAATATACAGTTCAGCATGCACCTACAGCTGTATCGAAACTGGAGCGGGAAGTCCAGACTACTGCGCACCTGGAAGTGACGTCAATTCTAGCAGTTGATCGCAAGAATTGGGACACGAGAGAAAGTGGAGAACTTGTTATCTAGAGTCCCTCGTTTTCTGGATTGGTACCGATATCTCGGCATGGGGTTTTCCCTATGTCTTTGTGCAAATGCAGAGAATCGCTGCCAAGTTTAATTGATTCTTTGTTTTTATACTTCTTCGTATAAGATGTATCTTCTTAAGTCATCCGTGCCGGCCGCGGCGGTAAGCGCTACGTAAGGTTACTGCGCATAAAATCTAACCTAGGGGATCAACTGTGACTATGATACACTGTCACTGCATTGGCCTGATGATACTGCATTTAGAGGTCCACCCTGCGACTAGAATTGGTCAGACAGCCCAGTCAAATGGAGCTTGATTCTGAACCTGACCCTGACTCAAGGCAGGGATACGTAAGGCCATCGGGCCATAGGTTAGACGCTGGGGAATTTAGGTACAGGCCCTATCCACTCACCAGATGGAGCCACCCAGCTATGCAGAGGAAATCTAGGCATGAAGCATCTAGGACGCAGTGAGTGGTTAAAGAACGAATTTCAACGATTGTTTGACCTACGGGCCACGGGTCAATTTGCTATGGCATCTGTTTACATTTACCACGTGTTATGTGTTCCGTTGTGGTAAGGGCTCTTGTTATACGACCAGTGTTGTGTTAACTTTTGCCAAGGGTGGATTAGACATGTGGGATACGGTATTTTGGTTCTTGCTTCAGGCAGTGAAGTACATGCATTGCTATCGTCTTACAAGAAGGATCGAATATAGGCCAAATATTATGAACTATATTGGATTTCTCAAACACCCTCTCTTTACTTCGAAAAAGCTAGAGCCTAACATTTAGCTCCAAGTAGTGTCCGACAAGTCCTTGCGTGCCCTATCACAGTTGGACAATCCAGCATGATTATAGCAGAGACCAGCCACTCCCGAAGCCCACAGCGCACCGGACTCCCACATAACGATAGCCAGATCCCACATCTCAAGGATCTTCTGATCCTGGGGGTAAGCCACCTGAGCAGCGAGGGTAGCTCCGACATATTCATTCTCGGAGGGTAAGGTATCACCGCCCCTGACGTAGGCGAGAACAGGCTTGACGAGAAGGTCAATGACAGCACGGGTCTCCGGCAAGGGCTTAGAGGCAATGAGGGCCTCAAGACGGGCCTCGGCGCTGGCAAGGGCACGTTCACCACGCTCGACCTTGGTGCCATTTGCCCGGAAGTGCTCCAGGGGAGGTCGCTTGTCAGGGACAATCGGAACGATGCCTGCATCGACAGGGAGATCAGTGCGACCGAGGAGAGTGACAGGGCGGTGGCGGCAGTTGGAGAGTTGCCACCAGTGGGTGAAGAGAAGGCAATTGGCTGCTGGGTTGTAGGGGTCGTTCTCCCGGTACCAGATCACAGCGCCGGTTATGCGGGCGTAGACTTCAGCCAAGGGGGCTTCCTCCAGGGATCCTCGTGTCAGCGAAGGGATGATGTTGCTGACTTCACCGCATGCTACATCGGCTCCGAGATCGATCCAGTCGTGTGCGACACAACCCAGACCGGCGATGGCGGCCATGTGCTCGCTACCACCTCCATCATAGTAGACGTGACAGAAGACTGCGTCAGCCAACTTGTACCGGGCCAGGCGGGCAAGATTGTCCCACACAACGATGGTAGGACGAGAAGGAGTTGGATGGGAGTCCTCAATGACGGTCTTCTGGCGCAGACAGGAGTAATTGCAGCCCTTGACGAGGCTGATGTCGGTAATGTGAGGGCCGGCATAGGCGGACTTTTCAGCAGCTGCAGCTGCATCGGCGAAAGCAATAGTGAGTTTGTCTGCCATGGCAGCGCTGTGGACACCAATGGAGTAATCCATGACAAAAGATGCGTCCATGGTTGACCACAAACCAGAGATGGAACCGCCGTAGACACCACGGTTGTAACCACTTGTCATGGCAAACACACTGGTGTTGAGGATGGGGCCCTGGCAGTCCTCCCCGGCAAACAGGTTGGCTGCGGTTGGATCAGATGCGACAGCCACACCACTCAGCTTGGGTGCGAGAGGCTTGCGGGCAGAGCATCAACTGGGCATGTCGACTGGACGCACCTCGGCAAACTCGACACGCTCAGGGGCGCCGGTCGCGATCATTCTGTCGCGGGCCTCCAACAGAGTCGAGGCGTCTGCGAGCAAACCGGCGGCACAATCAACGGCATCTGCAACACGTGCGTTGCGCATCCATGAGACACTGGAGACAGCAGCCAGAACACCGTCCGTTCGAGGCGTATCCTGGCGGCGTGCCACGTTAACGGTTGTCGTGAGGGTGTCGGTTTCAACGTCATACTGCTGAGAGAACTTGCTTGCTCCGGGTTCGGCAGGGCTAATGCCGTGTGATTTGAGTGACCAGGCGTGAGCTCCTCGAGGGGAATCCATGTTCACTCCCTCTGCCGCGACATGGGCTGTACCCCAGGTAGAGGTAAGCCGGACGGTAGCAGCAGGGTCAGTAGCTGAGAGCTCGCCCGTGCGGTCAGCCCAGTGGGAGAAGACAGGAAGACAATCGAAAGCAGGCGAGCGACTGAGACCACCGCTGACAACCAGGCCCGGTACCAGGTCAGAAATGGGCTGCTTGAGGTTCCTGACCGGCATACGCTGTTTGATCTCCTCGGAGCGTGCGCGGAACTCGTCGATCTTGGCCTGGCTCTGGATGGCAGGTTCGCGCAACCGCATGCCCAAGCTAGTGGGCTTAGTGGCAACAATTTGAGTTCCAGATCTCAAGGGAGAGGCATTGGCCGGGTTGGAAACGAACTCGTTGACATCCCGACAGGACATGCGCTCGAAGAAGAGAGGCTGGTCCTCAGCTCGAGGGTCGACGAGACCACCCTTACGAGCAATATCGGGGAGGTCATTTGTTCGCGCAATGTATCCCATCTTGGGAAAGGAATGCTTGAGAGATGAAGTGGTCTCTCGGCGGCAAGGATAGGGCGAGGAAAGATGAAAAGAGAGATCACAGAAATAAATAGGACGCAGAAATCGTTCTCTCAAAGAGTTTCAAGACAATGACTTTTCTTGAAGCCAGATATCTCTGAGATGTTTGGGTTGATTCCTATTCATGGCCACACCCATGGTTGGACTCTTTTATAGATCGAAGGAGGCTCGCCAAACAAAGGCCACAGCCGATTCAACCGTTCAGCCCATCCTTCCGTCCAGCCAGTCGTTCAGCCCAGACACGGGCCAGCCTGTGAGCCATGATTCAAGAACCATTTCAGCCAGCCACCGGTGCCCCGAGACAAGCAGGTCAAGCATAAGTGTGAAATTCAATTAATGACAGACTCCATGGGTCTTTCTGGTGGGGTTTTCTCGATTAATCTCCGGTCAACAACAAACCCCATATACTAAACATTGTGCTATAAAATGGCCACTCTACAGAAGAAAATAGAAATGAAAATCAAATAAGTAAATGAATAAATAAGAATAAAAGAAAGGAAAATATAGACAAATCATGTCAACATTGTCTCCCTACAATATGGGGCACCGCATGTAACCCTTCTCCACCACGGTGTTTCCGATCGAATCAAATGCATCGGAAACCTCTCCCTCGACCGGCAGTGAGCAGCTCCACCCGTGATGTGCTGGCATGTTGCTATCCTCACCTGCTTCGACAGACTGAGCATAGCGCTGCAACACTTGAAACCGCAACGCCACTCTACAGTCTTTGCCCCTCTTCTGCAGGCTGTCATACCTTCTCCCTTGTCGACGCCTATTCGATTCGCTTCCGAAAATCGCTAAGTTCCAGAACAAAGACACCTATCGTGGATATGAGCAAATCCTCGTGCTCCGCTCATCAGACCACTTAGAAGCTTGGATCTCGATTGAAATTCGTTCATAATCTTGCCTAGTCACCTCCTGCTGTCTTGTTTATATTGGCCATTTGGCACAGCCCCCTTCCCTTCCCATAGCCCCGCAGGGCAAGATTTCCCCATTCCATCCTCCTTGAGTAGATCTGCAGTAATTACAGTTGTCTCTGAAGTGCCCCCCTTCCACACAGCATGGTCCAGGCGCTTCTGCAAATGAAAACTCTGCTGAGCATGGTAGGAGAATATCCGGTCGTCTGTGTAGCCTGTCACAGGTGTCTCGTTCACGCCACTCAAAGCTGAAGCTGAAAAAGACCCACCAGCTGAAAAGGAACTAGAAGTTGGGGTATGCAAGCCGTGCAACTCTTTGACATATCACATTTTTTACCCTCTCTCCCTTTTCGGACTTTTTCTGAACATGCATCAGCTTCGTGTTGTGCTCTACACCGGAAATCGGCCAAGGGCTTATCGTAGACAATATCCCCCCTAGCTATCAAACCAGTCGTACGCTTCAGACAAGAAGAAATTCGCCACCTAATCTGACCATTACACAACATTACCTGGCTAGATTCAAGTTGCAACTGATTCTGCGATGATCAAGCCATGTCCTCGTACACCCCACCCTTGAAAACGTTGATATAATCGTGCCAAAACCTCAGCTGATATGCAATCCCCGCCATATATAGTAGCCTACTCCTTATCTAGCCAAGTGGACGGGTTTCAAAACCGCCCTAACCGCAGACCAAGTACGCCCGGTCTCTGTTCTCGGGCGAGATACAAATCAGTCTAGCTCACAACTTTGGTCGTCTTTACGATACACTCGTCCTACTTGCAATCATGTTTTCAGCATACGTATGCTCCTCGGCGTTCTGCTTTCTGGCGCCTACACCAGTCCTTTGCTTAACCGGTCTTTTGATCATCATCCTGATGTCACTCTTTTTTCGGTTTGTTCTCAGGACTGAAAAGGTCGAAAACATTCCCAGCGATGCGATAATGAGCCGGCGACGTATTCGCTACGGACACGCCAATCACACTAGCTGGGCTTCATGAGGGGCTTAGGTGGCTACTCACGTATTCCAAATAGTACGTAATTTGCTTCCCGTCAGTAGTATCATTCAGTCTGTTGTAGCTGGCAAGTTGAGTGGACTAATTTAGTCCTAGGATATTGACGAACCGCACAAGTCTACGACATCGCTCACCTCTGTTTGTTCAGACCATAGGGGCTTTCCTTAATAGTCACGAAGTTTTATACATCACGATTAAAGGCAGCTGTTGTGTTAGCTCTTGTTTTCTTTATTATACCG